CATACTATAAAAAAACGAACCGACAGGAAGTAGCTCTCTTTTCGCGAAGCTGGGACAGCAGGAGGAAGGGTGAGATTTTAGCTCTGAGCTCTGACTTCTCGGCTCTCTCTTTTACATTGTTTCTGTGTTTCTTATTTAATAAGACGGTTGGTTACATCTACACTTCTCTAAAGAGTATATGCTGAAGTATTTAGTCTAGTACCCACAGCACAGTGATGTTAAGTAGAATGTGGTAGTCTTGAAGAGTTTAAAGTACTTTGAACAGTCAAAGGAAGGGTTAGATACTTTTTTTGATGAGGCTAATAATATATTTTTGTACAGAAATACATCTAAATTTAACAGTTAGAGGAAGTTTGTGTAATTGTGATGGTATGTTATTTGATTAGTATATAATATATTAATCCTTTAAGAAAAAAGTCTGCCCCATACTGAAGACAAATCCCAAACTAGATTTACTAGTGCCTTCTTCCTACTGCATGTTGCATAATCAACCATGAGACCATTTTATGTTCAGGCCTTGGTGTCAGGCTTGATGATCATTCACATCCAGTGTGTTTCCATTAGGAGGAAATAGCCCAGCCTGTCCATGTCTATTAGTCCACATTTTTGATAGTTTAGTTTGAAATGAAGCCTGTTTGCTTGGTAAATGCTGATAAACAAGAACATGTTGACTTGCTATGCCTAATTTTATAATTAATTGACAAGTTTGAGTGTAAGGTTATGTGAACAATCAGTAATACACAGTGTGCCTAGATAGTTTTCTCTTCCTTTCTTTCCATCCTTACTTTTTTTTCTTTCAGAGACTTTATTTTATTTTACTTTTGTCTTTTTGAGACAGGGTTTCTCTGTGTAACAGCACTGGCTGTCCTAGAACTTGCCATATCAAGGACCCAGAACCTCAGAACAATCTGAAAATAGCAAAGCCTTCCTCAGGGAACTGAGTGCAAGTGTTTACAGTTTGTGCAGGATTATAGTTGTATACCACCATTCCTGGATAAACTTTAAATTTTAGAAATATTTTCTTGAAAAAAAAAAAGTCACTATTTGGTTATATTAGAAAATTATTTTCATAATAGGTTCTTGGTTTCCAGCAGACAGTTCTCATTCTTAGGTTAATAACCTGACAGTGAAGTAGGATTATTATTTATAACTTGTTATAGTTAGAATCTTGTATAACTTCTTTAGTATTTGTTTCAGTATATGACTAACAGAAATCAGCAGAGGAAGGCAATATTGTTTATGTTGTAGCTAAAGAAGCGTCCATGTTACTCATTTTCAGACTGTGCCAGCCTGATGAAAAAGTGTGTGCAGTGCCGGGCAGTCGTTGAACGAAGGGTGCCTTTCATCATGTGCTGTGGTGGAAAGAGTTCGGAAGACCCCTCTGATGATATCTGTGAGTGTCTTTCTTGCTGGCCATACCTCCCAACTTTATACATACTACACTAACACTATGCTGCTGCCTTGTTCACTAAGAGTTGGATTGACAGAGGCGCAAGTATGATTTTTTGGTGCTTTCGTTAGTTATAAGAAATGTAAAATTAGATTTTTATTTAGTTTGTGGTACGCTTATATATAGAGACTTTCCAAAGGTGTGTACGCATTTGTAATGTGTGCATGTGGGTACATGAAAGCCTCCATATGCATGTGGAAATCAGGACAACTGTATGGAGTTGATTCTCCTCTTCAGGTTGCTAGGCTGTGGAGCAAGCACCAAGTGTTTCTACCACTGAGCTGGTCTCACCAGCCCAGCACCAGATGCCGGAGGCTTTGGAATATGGAGAACCTTTATGTTTTTACTCAAAGACTACTTTCTTTCTGTTTTAAAGACGAAATTTAGTGGTTGTATATGTGTGCCCATTTCTGGGGATCAGATTAATTAAGCATATACTCTACCAATTTAGAGTATCTGGAAATGGAGCACTGAATTCCAAGTTATTTTTTTCAGCTTACAAAAGTATTCACCTGGTTCCTTTGCATAGCAGACTTACAAGATCATTTAAGTGGAGCGTATTTGTAGAATAGTAATTATTAGGGACAGAAAAGCTGGATTATAACACAAACAAGGAGAAGGCTGAAAAACTTTGTTTTTCTCTTTTATATCATGGTGCTGCTAAAATCAAGTTACTGCTCGCTCTAAGCAGGCACTCACCTGTTGGACTTTATTTCCAAAGGCTTCAGTAATACAACTGTTTAAAGTGGGTTGTTTTTGTTTTTGTTTTTGGTCATTGTTCTATTGCTGTGAAGAGACACAATGACCACAATTTTTTTTTTCTTTTTTCTCAAGACAGGATTTCTCTTTGTTCTCTGGCTGTCCTGGAACTCACTCTGTAGACCAGGCTGGCCTTGAACTCACACAGGTCCTGCTTCTACTGCCTCCTAAGTGCTAGGATTAAAGGCATGTGCCACCACACCCAGTAATCATGACAACTCTTATAAAGGAAAGCATTTAATTGGGTTTTGCTTACAGTTTCAGAGGTCAGTCCATTATCATCATGGTGGGAAGCATAGTGGCGTGCAGGCAGACGTGGTGCTGGAGAAGTAGTTGAGAGTTCTTTTTGTTTCCACAGGCAGCAGGAAGAGAGAGACACTGGGATTGGCTTGGGCTTTTGAAACATCAGGGCCCACCCACAGTGACACACTTCCTCCAACAAAGCCAAACCTACTCCAAGGCTACACCTCCTAATCCCTCTCAAGTAATGCCACTCCCTGATGACCAGGCATTCAATCATATGAGCCTATGGGGGTCATTTCTATGCCAACCACCATAGTTAGTGAGCTGGGTCAGCAGGTAAAGAGCTTACCATGTAAATCTGATAACCTGATTCAGTCCATGGAGCTTATGTGAAGGGGACAGAGAATGGTGTCTTCAATTCTTGGCTTTGTAACAGATATTGCTGCACATACCTCTAACACCTTCACAAATTGAGAAGAATAAAATTCTCAGGCACAGGTGTTACCTGGAATAAAGGGCCAAGGATGTACAGGGCAGGACATGTAAAATCAAAGAGCTTTTATCATAGCCTTCTGAATTTTTCAGATCGTTAACAGTAAGGAAAATCTTGACATAAAGAAAGGAGGGTTGGTCAGGCTTAGGTGGCTCATGCCTGTAATCCCATTACTTGAGTATCTGACGATTACAGTGAGTTTAAGGCCAGTCTGAGCAGCTGAGTAAGACTATCTCTGAATAAATGAATGAATGAATGAATGAGTGAATGAATGAATGAATAGATGAATGAATAAATAAAGTTAAGCTGGGTGTGGTGGCACATACTGATTATTATTATTATTATTATTAGTAGTAGTAGTTATTTTTATTCTTCTCTCATACATTACGTCCCAACTGCAGTTTCCTCTCCTTGTACTCCTCCAAGTCCCCCTCCTCCCTCTCCCCCAGATTTATTCCTCTTCTATTTCTCTTTAGCAGCCCTCCCAGGGATATCAGCTGAACATGGCATAACAAGTTACAATAAGACTAAGCACAAGCCCTCATGTCAGAGCTGGACGAGGCAACCCAGTAGGAGGAAAGGGTTCCAAGAACAGGCGAAGAGTCACAAACACCCCCACTTTCCCACTGTTAGGGGTCCAACAAAACCCAGGCTTGAACAATCACAGCATGTATGCTAAGGATCCAGTTCTCAGACCCATTCAGGCTCCTTTGAACCCCTGTGAACCCTGCTTAACTGATTCTATGGACCATGTTCTTGTAGTGTCCTCTGCTCTCTGGCTCCTACAATTCTTCCCCTCTTAGTGGAGTTCCCTGAGCTCCTCCTAATGTTTGGCTGTGCGTCTGCATCTGCTCCACCACACTTTTAATCCTAGCACCTGGAGTCAAAGGCAGGCTGAGGTTAAAGCTGGCATACTCTATATCGTGAATTCCAGGGCCAGGCCAGAGCTGCATAGTGAGACCCTATCTGAACAATCATAGTTGATGTCCTCATCATCATCCAAGTATAGTGGGTGCTGCCTGTAATCTAAACACTTAGGAGGTAGAGGTAAGAGAATCAGTTGATGGACAGCCTTGGCTATGCAGAGAGTTCAAGGCTAGTTTGGGCAACCTGTCTAGTGAAGCCTGTCTAGAAAGAAGGAAAGGAAAGAAGATGCATTGTTTCTAAGAAGTCATCTACGCCTTTAATCCCAGCACTCGGGAGGCAGAGCCAGGCGGATCTTTGTGAGTTCGAGGCCAGCCTGGGCTACCAAGTGAGTTCCAGGAAAGGCGCAAAGCTACACAGAGAAACCCTGTCTCGAAAAACCAAAAAAAAAAAAAAAAAGAAGTCATCTAAAAGATTAGTTAATACGGGGCTGGAGAGATGGCTCAGAGGTTAAGAGCACTGACTGCTCTTCCAGAGGTCCTGAGTTCAATTCCCAGCACCCACATGGTGGCTCACAACCATCTGTAATGAGATCTGGTGCCCTCTTCTGGCCTGCAGTCATACATGCTGTATACATAATAAATAAATAAATCTTTAAAAAAAAAAAAAAAGATTAGTTAATACTCCTGTAGTAACTACTTTGCTCTGTTTCCAGTGGCCCACAAGCACAGAATAGGAATATGCACGTTTGTGAGCTTGCCAGAGGAATCAAGTAGAGCCTTGCGAAACTCAGAAATTCTTGTTGCTGCAAGCCTCTTTCTCCCCCACCTCTGCCTTTTGGGGGGGGGGGGCGGAGGGCAGGGGGATGACAAGACAAGGTCTTGCTGTTTAGCCCAGACTGGCCTGATGACAATATTCCTGCCTCAGTCTCCTGAGTGCTGCAGTTGCCATCCTGTGCTCCCATGCCTGGCTTCCTCTATTTCTTTTTAAAATTATGTATGTGTGTGTGCAGGTACCCAGGCACAAAGGCCAGAGGCATTGACTCCCTCTGGAGCTGTAGTTACTGGTGGTTGTGAGTCATTTGATATGGGTGCTGAGAACTAAACTGTGGTCCTCTGCAAGAGTGTTATGATCTCTCAGCCAGTGAGCACTCTCTCTACCCCCCCCCCCTTAGTTAGACTTTTTATTGTTGTGAAGAGACATCATGAATGACCATGGCAACTCTTATAAGGAAAACATTTAATTGATGGTATTCACTTATAGTTCAGTGGTTCAGTCCATTATCATCATGGCGGACATGGTGGCGTGCAGGTAGACATGGTGCTGGTTACATCTTGATCAGAAGGCAACAGGAAATGAACTGAGACATTAGGCAGTATCTTGAGCATAAGAAACCTCAAAGCCCGCCCTCACAGTGACACACTTCCTCCAACAAAGCCACACCTCCTAATAGTACCATTCCCTATGAGATTATGGGGGCCAATTACATTTAAACCACCACACACCCCAAGTCTTTCCTCTTGAAGATTATAAATGAGTGTTATCTGGATTTCACTACTGTATCTTTTGTCTCTCGATGTGGGGGAAAAAAATTTAAGAAGACCTTAAGAATAACGTTAGCTCTCTCCACTCCTTTCTTTTCTTGTAGAGCTTACAGAACCCAGGTCCTTGCACATGGTATGCAGACATTCTGCCACCAGCGAACTTCAACCCCATGGGTTTGAGGGGTTTAGTTTTTGTTTGTTTGTTTATTAGTTTTGGGTTTTTTTGGTTTGGGTTTTTTAAGACAGGGTTTCTCTGTGTACCCCTGAAACTCACGCTGTAGACCAGGCTGGCTTTGAACTCAGAGATCTGCCTGGCTCTGCCTCCCAAGTGCTGGGATTAAAGACATAGGCTACCACCACCCAGCTCAGTTTTCTTTTTTTTAATAAAAAGTTTAGAAATATGTCATTTTGTCAAAATAGTAATAACTAAGGTTTTTCTTAACTTCCAGCAAGTGGTAATATTCCAGTGCTGCAGAAGGACAAAGACAACACCAATGTCAACGCAGATGTGCAGAAGCTGCAGCAGCAGCTGCAGGACATCAAGGAGCAGGTACTGTTTCCATCCCACCACCCAGTGCTTCTTACTGTGCCACTTAATGCATGTCTGCCAGGCTACTGGCCTTTTCTCATAGGCATGCTCTGTGATAGCAGATCAGTGACTAATATCTGACTCCGAGCTTTAGTCAGACAGTTTCCAAAACAGGAAACGTACACAGACGCCATTAACATGGCTGGAAAAAGCCTAAAACCCCCAGTGAGCTGCCTGACTTTCAAGCTGGTTTGCGGACTGGAGAGATTGTTGGTGTCCCATAGAAGGCAGAGTGCAGCACTCCCATGCTGCTGCTGCTGGGCAGAGATGTCACTAGACTGCGGAGCAGAGCACTGAACCCAACAGGCTGTTGTCTAGGACTCTAGACCTGGTGGAAATCAGTGTTAGAACCTGTGGTAATTTTCTCTGCTAGGAAGAGGCAGGGGGCAAGTTTCTAGAACCCCCTCCCACAGTCTTACTGTGTAGCTCATGGCTGCCTTTAGCTCCTGGTCCTCCTACCTCAGCAGGTGCAGGGATTATAAACACGGATTGCTTGACCCTGGTGCCTACTTGACTGGTTTAACTGACAAAAATCAATTTTATCTAATACTAACAACTAACAACATATCACTCTTAAAGTAACAAATGTGTTTCCTTTTGGAAATGCAAGTTATTAATTACATAGAATTCTTTTTTTTGTTATTTATTTATTTTTGTGTTAGAATGAAAGCTAGAGCCCCGTAAAAAATGCTAGGCAAGTTCTCCACCACTGAGATATATCCCCAGCCCAGATATCTAGAGTTCTTGAAAATGTAATGGCACAAAGCTATTTTAATGCCACCAAATGGGGGAGGGGGGGCTGGCTTTGTAAAATTCCAAAGATGTGACACCCCCCCCCCCCCAATTTTGCTCTTTTGAAACTTATAGATGATTGTAATAGTTTGTTTGGAAAAGGATATGTTTAACAATTTACACCACAGTTTTTTTCCTTGGTTGTCTGTGGTGTCATCAAAGTTACTAGCTACATTGTCATAGACTTGAGGCCTCGTTTAGTAATCCAGCCATCCCTATTTTATCTCTATGTTGGGAGAGGGAAAATTGATAATGAAGTGTTACATTAGAATAAAATGGGCTTTTATTAGTGTAAAGTATATGTTATGGATAAGTAATGACTTTGTGCTAGAGAGTGGCTGAAGGCACACACCTAACTCTTGAGAGCAGAGGAGTGCTGGCAGAGTGTTTGCGAGCCGGAAGTCTGGGGCCCGGAGTTCCAAGCTGACGGTCTTGACGTGAGCCTAGCAGGGCTAGGGAGGTTAGATCTAGCATAGTTATATCTAGCGTAGAGCCTGGCCAGGGCTCTCAGCTGCATGCCTGCACCACACCCCACTTCAGTGCCACACAAAGGCACTGGTTACCTGGAGGTGACATCTGCTTCAGGTACAGTGGGGCAGCTTTCATCCATTGCCTGTTCTCTGATTTATTATCATTTATATTGTGTGTGTTTGTGGCAAGAGTTGATGTGCATCTTATACATGCAGGAGCCAGTGGAGATAAGATCCCCTGGAACTGTGAGCCAATATGTGAGTTCTGGGAACCGAACTCAGGTCCTTTGCAAGAGCAGTAAGCATTCTTAACCTCTGAGGTGTCTCTCCAGCCTGTACTATTTGTTTTATGTACTGCCTTTATACTGTTTTGAAAGAATAGCTAGTGTCTATTTTGTAGGGATGACGTTTTATTATAATGACTATTTTTGAACAATTAATTTTTTTAAATAACTAATTTATTTTTGAGCTAGGTATGGTGGCAAACATCTTTAATTCCAGTACTTGGGAGGCAGAGGCAGGTGGATCTCTTATGAGTTAGAAACCAGCCTGGCCTGCATAGTGAGTTCACTGGCCAGAGCTATATAACAAGACCTAGTCTCAAATCCCTCCTGAAACACACACACACACACACACACACACACACACACACACACACACACACACACACAGAGAAAATCTTATTCTCAAAAGCAATAGATTAGAAAATTAATGATATAGGGGCTGAAGAGATGGCTCAGAGGTTAGGAATACTGGATGATCTTCCAGAGGACCCAGGTTCAATTCCCAGCACCCACATGGCAGCTCACAACTGTCTGTAACTCCTGTTCCAGAAGCTCTGACACCTTCACACCAATGCATATAAAATAAAAATTAAATAAATTATTTTAAAAAGAAAATTAATGATATAAAAGAGTTGTTATGTTGCACTTAATGTATAAAATGGCTCATATTTACGCATTGTCTCATTACATTTCAGACAATGTGCCCTGTGTGTTTGGATCGTCTGAAGAACATGATTTTCCTCTGTGGCCATGGAACATGCCAGCTCTGTGGAGACCGAATGAGTGAATGCCCAATTTGTCGCAAGGCAATTGAACGAAGGATTCTTTTGTATTGATTAAGAAACACAGAGTGTTTTGTTAGCTAAAGTATGTGATCATGAGGTCTTAGTAGGTTCTAAAGCTAGTTGGAAGTTTAATCTAAATGGGTTAATTTGTAATTTCATAATTTTTTATTAGAATGTAATTAGACTATATATGTACCACCATCACAACGAAAACATCATACAGTGTTTGAAATTACCTATTTTGTGTGTGTGTCTGTGTCTGTGTGTCTCTGTGTGTCTCTGTGTCTTAAATTTGGAACATCAAATCCATGGTAATTCATAGGAAATCTACTTTTGGTTTCAAAGGGGGAAATCCTTTAAGGACCTCCTTTCACATTGGTTTTCATTTCATTTTTCTTTTTAAATTTATATGTATGTTAAACCTTAAAAATGACTTACATGGTCAATACTCCTCCATGATTTCATGATTATCATGATTTCACATGGTGGAATGACACAGATATCCCAAAAAGTCCTGTGGAAGGTGAGTGGGCAAGTAAAACTGTGTCACATGTAGTAAATGATAAGAATACAGTAGAGATGCCATGTGGCCGAGGCAGTACTGAAGGAAAGATAGTATTTCAAGATAATTAGAAAGTATCCAAATGATTGTTTCAGAATTAAGTCCGTGGAAGTATATGCTAAAGAATAATGACTTTACCTTGTTTTCTAGACTTAAAAGCAAAATTGACTAGCTTAAATAAATGACCAGTTTCAAAATCAGCAGCAGACATGAAAAGGAAAAGCAAAATTCGAGTGAGAATTGAAAGCCAGCACAGGACAGTGCAAGCACACCCCCTACCTGACTGTTCCTGCTGCACTTCTTGTATTAACTTGTCGCTGTTTGGATCAGCCATTTGCAGAAAAAGATCTGTGACAGCTGACCTGGGCTTGGTCTAATCAGTGCACACACACCATCCTGTTTGTGCCTCTGAGGTCTGCTCAGCAGGGTTATACTTTATTAGAGGCAGCAATCTTTTTCTGTGTCTGTTAATTCTGACAGTGTTATGGATTCTATCTTCATCAGAAGCCTTACTTCCATTTTCTCAGATAGTAATTTTTTGCTATAAAGAATATAGTTTTTCTTCATACCTGCAGATGAATATTCTTTAAACTGCCAAGGATAACTAAGATACAATAAATAGCTTAATATCAGATACTTAGAAAAGGGTGCAGGGGCATTTTGGAAAAGCATGTGATTACATGTAGACTTGGGAGGGGGCTAAGCATTTTATCTCCTTTAAATGAGTAATCTTTTTATCTAGCATAAATATACGCGTTAAGTGTTTCGAGATTCCTCCCTGCTAGATTATAAAAACATGAGCTGTTTACAGTAGTGTCTACTATACTGTGTATAAGTATATACTCTTTTAGTGTTCTTTGGGGGTAGTTTTCCCCCACATTTGAATCTTACTACTTATTTCTGTCTTTCTGCTGTAGCAACTCAATGTGGGAGAGCAGAGTGTCCAGCCTGGTCACACTTGGCTGAGGTAGTTTACCTGCCACTGCCTTTGCCAGGCCTCCCTCGCGGTGAGCTCTGCCGCTGTGTTGTAGACTCAGCAGTTCCATATCTGTGTTTAGCTGAGCAACTGCTATATTTCTTTCTTTTGTTTTTGAGGTAACGTCTCACTATGTAGTACAAGTTGGCCTGGAACTTACTGTGTAGCTCAGGCTGGCCTCAACCTCATGATTTTCCTGCCTCTGCCTTCCAGTTGTGGGATCATAGGATGGGGACCCCACCATGTCCAACAACTATTAATCTTTTTGGACAGTACAGTTTTTGTTAGTTTCAAATTAGGAATGTTATGTTGTGACTATTTAGCTATGTAGTTAGGAACCAATGAGGCCATTTTCTAAGTATAATTTGAAGTTTTTTTTTCTTTTTTAAAAAGATCCATCTGATGATATGATGTTTACATAAAGAGACAGACTATCTTCTTGCAGACTTGGAAGTAGCAGAAATGAGGATCTTTTCTTCCTTGCCATAGGCTGCCCATTGGGCAATGAAGGATGGCTGCTGCACACAGTCTGCCAATCCAAGAACCTGTGGGCCACAGCTGAATCTAGCTTAAGTCCTTTTCTCTGTCTCCTGAGCTGCAGGGCTAAAGCTTGTATCTGTAAGGGATAGGCCTTCCGGCTAGCTCCCAGCTCAGTCTCCATGTTAGAGCACAGCACACTAACTTCTGCAAGAGAAGCTGGAAAGTCTTGTCACTTGGCTGTTTATTTTACGAATAGAGGATGCTCTTCTGTTCATGTCTTCAGGCACCTGAAATTGTTGTAAATTTGCTTGGGTTTGCAGGAGATGGCAAGGGCAAGAGCTGCCTCGGGCCAGTGACTTTCCTCCTCACTCTCTGGAACTGCTACCTCTTAGTCTCTTTGCAGTACTTGGCCCATTGAGTATCTCTCCTCCTTGTTTCCCAAACCCCTCTTCCCTGTGCCTCGGAACAACTCTTACTTCTCTTAGGATTATTTTTACAATGGCACACATTCTTTTTTTTTTTTTAAAGCATTGGGCTTCAGGGGTTTGATAGGAAAAGAAAAGGTCAGTGTCTTAGCACACTTAGAGTTCACACTGCAGTTGTTTGTGTCATTTGTGGACAGTAACACAGGTTCTGAGGCACTGTTCGCATTCCTGCTGGTGTTTCAAGAGAGCTTTTGGGGAGCAGTATTTGGAATCCTTTTCTGTACCCCTTGCTCCACCACATTTCCTCCTTTATTCAGCTCTAAATACGTACAATTTACCAGACGGTGCTAGCACACCTGCATTTGTCACATAGTTTAACATCCTTATCTATGCTGTGTACATATGGAATTTCATTGGGAGCAAGGTTTTCAAGAGAAATAGTTTATATTAGTGTAAGAAAATTATACTAGGCAAGTATTTAGTTGCCCAAATTATGCTTAAGGTATTTGTAATTTAATAATGGCAAATTAACTAGAAGTCTACTGAAACATAAAATTAACTGGAAAAAAATTCTTAAATTTATATTTTTGGTGATTTTAGCCTGAAAGAACATTTTATTTTAGAATGTTGAAATGCATGCTGCTTAAGATTTGTCTATTTCAAAATTCAAACCTTGCTGGGTCATTTTTACACATAGGAACATCCTGGGTAGTCATATATTGCCTGGTGGATGTTCTTTGTTTATTTTGAATTCTGGACACTTGTGAACTAGGAATAGTTGAACTTGTGAGCTAGGGCAGTGCTAGATGGAGCAGAGCTGGTTTGGGACATGCGCGGTGCAGCAGACAGGAAACAAACAGGAAACACAGGGAGAAGGAGCATCGTGAAGGATTTGCTGCAGCCTTAGTGGAGAGGGCATAGTTCATTAAACAGGAAAAGAGCATCTATTAGGTCAGGTTTTCACACATCTTGACAGCTGTTTTGTAAATAACAGATTTTGATACAGCTTGCTTTTTTAAGGTCTAAAAGCATTTATCCTTTCAGAGTGTCTGAAATGTTTATAGTAATAATTTGTATAAAAACTGACTCACAGGACACATTTTTTTGGAATTTTTTTTTTAAATTGCATTGAGAACCACATAGACGGTTTGTTATCCTGACTGCTTCTAAACGTGCAGTTGAGCAGTGTAACTCCCACTCACTCTGTTGGGAACAGCTGTGGAATTTTATCCTGCACAGCTGAAATGCCACACCCATCAGATACTCCCTTCTTCCTTTCCTCTGTGCAGTAAGTAGAGTTCTGAGTACATAGAAAGCAAGCATTCAAGTTGCTGTGTAGTCATTTGTATTTGCAAGATCTAAACTTAGGTGGACATCAGGGTCCTGAAATTTGAGGGAAGGGCATCTCTCCCCTGCCATAATTGTTATTTTTACAATTATGTTAATTGAAAATGTTTATTATTTCATTTTGAGCCAGAGGGGGCAAAATACATTTAAATATGAGAAATAAGTTAGCTTTGGTTTTGTACTAATTAGGAAAGTAATAGATTTTCACAAGTAATTTGTGCCTTGTTATAAACGTCACTTGTCATTGAGTCTACCTGTCAAATATCACAATACAGTTTTCTTTCAAAATGGCGTCTGATTTAACTTGCTTGAATATCACATAGGAATGCTTACTGACATTACTTGAGAATCATGTATATCCTTTTGACTTTAACACACACACAAACACACACATACACACGATAGCAGTATTGATAATTACGGTTATATCTTTAAACATTAAATGTGAGGAAGCTGTCTAGTGTTGTCTCGTGTGTGTGTGTGTGTGTGTGTGTGTGTGTGTGTGTGTGTGTGTGTGTTGCTTTACTGCAGTGAAGGAGAAATCCTTTGCACTGAGCTTCCGTGGCTGATTGAGTGGCAGGTAGTGGGGTCAGATCACAACATAGAAACATGAGTGCACAGTTCATAAAGTTAAGTTGCTACTTTGGCATTTTCTACCTCTTTTTCTATCAGAATATTGCTTTTCTTCCCCTTCTAGCATCTCATCTTGTTTGTGAGTGAAAAGGAAGCAACCCGAGGTTAAAGTTAGATTTTCTGTTTCTGAGAATTTAAGCAATAGGTGCAGGAAAAGGGACCTGTCATGTTAATTTGGTGCCTGAATCTAAAAGTATGAACTGATGTGTGCAAACTGTCTAAGAAGGATAATAGTGCTGAGTATTTGAATCATCCTGTATAGTTCTCTTGATTTTATTTCATAAACTTGACTTCTTTCCTCAAAAGCAAAGTGGTCTTCTAATTTTTTATGAAATAAGCAAAGATGCCGTTTTGTCTAAGTGTACAGTTTCAGGAAGCTCCTGAACGTTCTGACTCAGGGCTCTTTAACAGTTTAAGCAATTATTAATATATTTTGGAAACTCCATCTGCATAATTCTTCAGTGCCTTGAAAGAATTATTAACATGGCAACACTTACAACTTGGTCATAGGCAGCCTCTGGTGCACCGGGTCATGGTATGCACGTTCCTGATCACACTGCTAAGCATCCGTGACAGCTGCTCTGCACGTGTGCTGGGCTTGCGTAGTTCTTTAAGGGAGTGTTCTATATTTGCACTTGATACTTGGTTTTTGCTTCTGTTTTTAAAAAACTGATTATTCAAGGCCATGGCACTGTTAGAAGAAAAATGGCGTTTGCTGTCGGTGTGCAAAGTCACCTTAAATAGCTGTTGGGGAAGGGCAGGGCACACACATTGTGTCTAGTACAAAAAGAGCATCAGTTCGGGAAGCAGATCGTCTTCCTCTCAAGTGGAAACCAAACCAAGCCAAACCCTTTGTTAGTGGTTCAATTACAAAATTAGTTGAAAGGAAATCATGAATTGCATGTCATTCTTACTGCTGATCTGTGGACTAAATGGACGTTTTTCTGTCTCCTTCAGTGTATGTCTGCCATCCTAAGTACAATATATTCAAAAAGGAGAAAGCAGGTTGTCTCAGAAGTGTTTTGCTTTGTATTTTTTCCAGTTCTTCTTAGTTTTCAATGTTGGAATAAATTTAAGTCTTGTTTATGGATAAAATTTCTGTATGGAAAATTATTCTTGCTTATTAGCTTTTGTTTAAAAAAAAAGCTTAGTAGCAACTAAGCTTTTAAAAATAAATGCAAACATTTACCATTAATAAAACTTATGGTGTAATATGTTTTTCTCTGATTTTTTGGAAGCTATTCTTTATAATAATATAAATGAATTTTTATTTTTAAGGCATTTGAAAGCAAATCTCAGTACATCAAAAAATCCTATTATTGGAAAGAAAATTACCATATCTTTGAGAAACAAGGACATCTCTCTCCAAGTCAATATAAGAAGTAAGCATCCACATCTAGAAGGCTCCCATTGTGAGTGCTCACATGACAGGAGCCTCTGTCCAAGGGTCAAAGAAGCTTTCATATTTTAACACCTACTTCTTCAGGATTAAGATGTATTTGGAAAGTACCCTGAATAGAATAGGCTTGATCAAAAAGAACCAGACAGGAAGACTCAGCCTGTCTCTATATTTTAAAAAGCTTATTCCTCTTCAAAAGTCAGGTGTGTGTGTGTGTGTGTGTGTGTGTATCACTCTTTATAAGGTAAGTATTTTACAGCAATGATGTATCTCCCCTTTTCAGTGTTTTATGAGTAATAGTTTGGGGGTATTTTACTTTAAAGTTGCTAGACTTACTTGTTTTTTACCTTGTTGAGAGGTTTTCTGATTCCATTTTAAAAGATATGTATCCCAAATGTCTGAGAGAAAATCTATCAGAAACAGAATCTTTTGTTTAATTGATAAAAGCACATGTGTTCCAACTTTAAAACTGTGGATTTATTTTGGATAACCTCTAATTCATTGTATTTTGTGTTTGTTTTTATTACTGTATAAGCAGCTATCTCATGGTAATATTTTTATTAAATTGAAACTCTAGGTTTAAAATAAAGACATTTTAGAAAATCTGCTTTATATTTTTATCATTGACAGTTAATTCACCCTTCACATAGGTTAAATTTTATCAATATTCTATAGCACAGCATTTCTCAAACTTTTAATGATGCTTTTTACAGTAGCAGTAGGACTTCAGAAGATACAGTGAAGCATGAGGTAAAATGGAAAACCATAGCAGTTCCTGTAGAGAGCATTTGGCTAATGGTTTCCCCATTTATAACCAGGCTAATAACTGACGAGTACACTTTTATTTTCCTCAGAACCAACAATAATAATACTAAAGATAGATGTAGGAAGTAAGTATAACATCCGACCCATAGACAGAGCCCATCAGTGAATGCATAGCATGTCAAGAAGACTAGTTGGTGGATGCTGCTGTATGATGCCCCGAAGGGATGCTTTTGGTGTGCCCTGGATAGGCCCTTGCATTCACAGAACCACTTTCTAAAAGACAGAATTTTAAAAACAATGTATTTTTTATTTTCACCTCTCACCAGTATTGACATTGAGCAGAACATTAACAGTTTAGAAAGAAGTTGACCTTAGCTTAACAGACAGCCAGTCAGGACGAGCCTTGACTTTCTGATCCTGTCACCGGCAAACCATGTTGGAAGGACTGGAGAGTCACAGCCTGCCGACACACCCAGGAGTAGACTCCTGTGGGAGCCAGTGGTGGGTGAATTACTACAGGCTTAGTCTGGACAAAACTAAAAGGTGGAACTTGAAGGGAGGGTACCGTATGGTTGAGCTGAAGGCCCCATCAATTCTTGCCTCAGTGGTAGAACACATGACTGATACGTGAACCCTATTAGTCCCCAGCACTGGAAGAAGAAAAAGAAACAGAAAACATACCATTAGTCAACTGGATGTAATTGACATCTATAGCATAGTTTACTACCAACAGCATAAGTCATATAATTCTCAAGCTCACATGGGACATTTAGTAAGGAAGATGACATTTGGGACTTTCAAATGTACTTACTTAATTTTAATGACATATTCTCCCAGACCACAATGGAATTAAATTAGAAATCTAGAGAGATGGTTTAAAAAAAAAAAAAAAGGACTCGGTTGTTAAGTTGTTGGTGACTAAGCTACACACAGAGGTCAAAGAAATCTCAACAAGTGGAGGCTGTTTTGGATACTGGGTATGGTGGCTTACACACCTTAGGAGGTGGAATCAAAAAGATCTCCAGTTAGAGGCTGGCCAGGCGATTGATACATACATACACAGGATGATTGATATACATACACACAGGATGATTGACACAGGCACATACACAGGATGATTGATATACACACACAGGCACACACACACAGTGCAGTGAAAGCCCTTGGGAAAAGCTTATGGCATGAAGTCTATAGTAGTAAAGGTCTGAACTCATCAAGCCTCTTTAGAAAATTAGGAGAGGAACAAATTAATTGAAAGAAATACAAATATGAGCAGAGATTGTAAGGAAAAACAAAACCCAAATTGTAAATAGGAGCTTACTGGAGGAAAATTAATAAAATTAAGAGCCAAACCCTGAAATGATCAACTAAAGAGATTAGGTAGGTTAAATAACAAAAGGCCGGGATTACTGACGCCGGAAGTAGTGCCATCATTATAAATCTCATGGACACTGTAACGTGGCAGTCAGTCATGGTATACCACCTATGGTCCTGGCATTTGCACAGTGGAGCAGAAGGATTGGTGATTTACAGTCATCCTCAACTGCAGAGTGAGTTCAAGCCCACCTGAGCTACATAAGGCCCAGTTTAAAAAGAAAAATAATGTTATGAGCAACTATCTCTGAGTGATATTATATAATATATATGAAATAATTTTTTATTTTTAGTATCACTTAAATGGGTTCATTCCCTGAAAGGTATTCTGATCAGGGAGAACTAGGGAATCTGGATAACTATCAAAGAAATTGCCTTTAAAGCAACCTTTTAAAAAAATAGGAGCAGACCCTTTCATGCCAAATAAAGAAATTATGCCAGTTATTTCCCGTCTCTTCAGAAGACAGCAGAAAGAAGACTTCCTCAGAGAGAGAGCCCAAGTTTGTATGTAGAGTATTCCTTAGGGTTTTTGTTTCTCCAACCTAATCTATGAATTCTATCAAAAACACTACCTACTTATCTTATGCATATCGACAAAGTGGCTTCAAAGCTTATCTGGAGGGAGACAGAGTGTGAGGGTTAATAACACTTAAGATGTGCACAGCTGAAGTTTTGTAGTCAGCCTAGATGCTCACCAGCAGATGAATGGATGAAGGAAAATGTTGCATGCATATAATCTAACCACAAAGAATGAAATATCATTTGACAAAAAGTGGAAGGAGTCTGGAGATCAGCGTATTGGGTGACAGATTCAGATATGCTGCAGTGTGATGGTTAATGTCAATGTGACAGGATCTAGAGTCACCTAGGACACACCTGTGAGGGAGTATCAAGATGATGGTTATCTGGAGTGGCACTACTCTATGGACCTGGATCCTGAACGAAGTAAAAAGGAGAAAACAGTGGACTGAGCAGTCATCAACTCCCGCCTCCTTACCGGATACAATGTGACTTGTTACTTCAGGCTCCTGCTGCCATGACTTCCCAGCCACAATGGACTACACCTCTCCTGTCAACCCAAATAAACACTTCCTCTCTTGAGTTGATTTTGCCAGGTATTCTATCACAGTAATGAGGAAACTAATGTGGAGTTGGTACTGGAAAATGGGCCTGTGGCTGTAATAAACCTGACTGTGTGATTCTTAGACCCTTGGAACTGGTTTGCAGGAGGAATGTGGAAATTTGAAACTTTGGGCAAGGAAAGCCCTTGAATATTGTAGGCAGAGCTTACTAGGCCATTTTGATGGAAGTTTAGAAAACACAAATGCTCAGAAGAACAATCAATGGAGATTTGGCTTGTGGAGTTTCAGAAGGTAAGATCCCGCATTGAAGTCTCTGCAAATTCCTTAGAAAGGAAAACTGAAAATGGTGCTTTCCTAGCTCCTCAAAAGCAACTGCCTGGGGAAGTGTCTCTGCAAGATCAGCACACAGAAGCAGAGGCAGCTGTGATCCAAGGGGAGTCAGCCCCCGTTCCCAAATTGGCAGCGAATGTAGCGTCATCCATGTGCTAATTGTTTTGCAGACATGGAGGATTAAAGAAGCTATCCAAGCTTGTTTCTCTGTTCCAGGGAGCTGCTGGGCCAGGCAAGTCTGGGTCCCTGCAGAGAATCTCTGCTGCAGTGGAGACTCAGAACAATGAGATTTGCTGAAGAAAGCTACAGGCATGGAGCAGAGTTGGCCCGACAGATGCCATACGCTGTAGGTGGCAGAGCTGAAAGGGTGAACCTACCCAGACATCTGAAGCACAGACAGACGCCAGACACGCAGCTGCGGAGTTAGCGTTTGCCCTGCTGAATTCCAGTCTTGCATTGTCCCTGTTCTTCCTTGGGATAGGAATGTTTGTGCTGTGCCTTTGTTTATGTGTGTAATTTCTTCTTTACAGGAGCTCACTGTTTATGAGTCTCAGATGAGACTTGCTAAAATTGTTAAAAGACAATGAGGAGTTTTGGATTACAAGGTGGTCATGAGCTATGAGGATGGAAGTAATGCTTTGAAAGGGATGTGTTTGGGTATCAAGTTGACAAAGTTGTGATGGTTAACATTTTCAACTTGACAGAATTTAAAATTATCAAGGAGACATGCCTCTGAGAGATTATCTAGAATAGATTTGCCTCTGTCTAGACTAGATTTGCTTCTGAGCGTGCCTGTGAGGGATTGTCTAGGCTAGATTAGCCTCTGAAAATGCCTGTGAGTGATTGTCTAAATTAGGGCAATTGAGGTTGGAAGAACCACATTTAACTGGATGGCACCATTCCATGGGATGGGGTCCTGAACTGAATAAAAAGGAGAAGTCTAGTTGAGCATCAACATTTTTTACTCTGCCTCCTGACTGTATGCAATGGGACCAGCTTCCTCAAGTTCCTGTTGCCATGACTTCCTAGCCATGATGGATGGTACCCTTTAGTCTTGAGTGGAAATAAACCCACCTTTCCTTAAAGTTACCCTTATTTTTAGACATTTTGTCACAGTAATAGGAAATGCATGTTTTCTCTCCTGTGTGAATCTAGAGTTAAATGTGCGCATGGACATGACAGGTAAATCAGGAGGGGCTGTTTGGGAGGAGGAAGCAAATCAGCAAGGGGGCAGGAGAAGGAGATTCGGGGTGAAGATGAGCAAAGTGTAGTGGTAC